CACCCTCCACTTCGTTTGATCATCCTGTCTTAGCAGTCCTCGATTGAAAAACCGGTCGACCGATAAGGTTATGGTAGGATTCACAGACAAACACATACACACACACACACACACCTCTGTCTTCAGTCATGTACATCTCCCACATTGTAACACCTTACCCGTTCACTTGTCTGAATCATGCATTGTCGTCAGTTCCTAATCATCCGATCTTGTTTGAATCATTCTGTCTCTCCCCGCTCGCTGCTCCACCCACCGCAGGTATTCGTACATTACAATGTATCTTGCTCAAAGCGGCCCTTCTGTTTGGAGTGCAAGTGTTCGTTGGAGTGACCTATCGAGGATTGATTGAACCAGTAAAAAGTGAGTCGGATGGTGCCCTATTTGGCTGTTCACGCATGTTCCGCTCACATCAGGACAACTGAAACTGGAATCCGTAACAATGATTGTTTTGCCCGTCAAACTTTAAATTTATACTCCTCGAATGAGGGAATGCTAACCTGTTACACGAACACTGAATACACGTACGCATAATAGAAGAACATATTGAAAGCTACCTTCTCTCCAGTGCAATCCTCTGTTTAGATTCAATTCTTTTCAAAATGATAATGAAAACAAGCTAGCTAACTGTGTTTGTTACTAATGCCGACCTCAGATTAACACCTTCTCGGGAAAATCTCCAGGCCTTACCTACTGTATGACATCACGTGGGTTCGGTGCGTGATGTATTCAAGCTCTACGTATGGCTACCATCAAGGAATCGCTCATCATAGTCTTATTGTTGGCATACAGTTACGGAACTGTTCCCTGTTGTTGAGTAAATTGGTTTCTTTAATACATTTCCTTAGACCAGGCATAGAAGTAAAGTGTTGCGTGACCTTCCCATTCAGAATTCAACTTTTTTTCTCAGTGCATGTACTTTACATCTGGCTACAGGTTGTTTGACGAGGATCCGATACATGGCATCACCTAGACTGGAATAAGAGCTCTTCTCCCGCACAGATCGATCGTATTGTCACGAACGGTCAGGAGTGCAACAAGTTTCAGTTGCTGTCTTCCAGTTGTAAATTCGAACGAAACACTAGACGGACGAATTAGAGAGCTGGAAGAAATATCAGCTTAGGGGAGACATACCACTATCAAACTGGATTCTGGGGGCGTGGGTGACTGAGTAGACTCACAAACGTCATTGTTCACCTCATTGTATCATACCACTTGCCGTGGATTCAACTGATCCCGAGGTCCCGAACCGTGAAACCTGGCTCAACTTCGGTATGTCCAAGTCCCCAGACCACATCTTTCATACCTACATACATACAAGGTCTTTGGCTGAGCAACCCTGACTTTCTTCCACCCACAACTATATGCCTCAGCAGTCTTGCAGTGCAACGTAAGCAGTCGCAGCTGGTTTGTCATCCCGGGACACGCATCCGGACTCACGCAAAGTTAACTCCTGCCAAAAACTGTATGATCTCTTACATGAAATAAAAGCCCGGATGATATGGTGATTTCAGTGTGAAATGTGAATGCTAAAATGAATCGGTTGTCTTCGTACCGGATCACTTCCGTCGAATTCGATCACACATAAGCATCTTCTAAACCGTCCATGTGCTTCAGTGGGCGTTCCAAGTGTACGAGACAGCGACAATTGGACTTGCAATAAGCTATCTCAATCAGCATGCTTAACCGCCTTTCAAAAAGCACTGGCTGAAATGTTAGAACTGACCCCACCGGCTAACATCATTCAGTACTGTCCGTTCATCAAGACTACTGGGCATTCTGCCGGCCTAGTTAGTTACGGCCTGTCACCTCGTGTTCTGACACCGTGAATCTTTGTGGAGTGTTTGCCCTCTGTTGATGCAGTCCTGGCCGATCACGAGCGGAATAAACTAAAACTCGTAAGCCTCAAAGTTGAAGAATTTCCACAAGCTATTCGATCTCCTAAGAATCGCTGTTCGAAAAGCACTAGGCATCAGCAAAAAGGTGTACGAATCTAACTACTCACGTGTTCACA